CAGAGGTTACATGGACCAAGGATGAAAGCCCCTGAAGGTAGTGTATGAAATTCTAGATCATACATGAAAATCCACTTTTAAATTTACAATTATTTCTATATATGTATATGATAGTGTCTACCATTAGAACATGATTATGTCTTGTGATTTGATAATGATTCCTTTGTATATAACGTAGTGTCTCATTCTAAGTTTATATACATAATGTGATAGTGTATGCTTGTAAAGCCTCAGCTTTGTTATTTTGAAATGTTCACATATTGTGTAAACATGTATGCCTGATGCTAATGCTAATAATATTTTTTCTGTAAGTGACATTAGTAACCGCTATCGACAATAATCGATTACTTCATTGGCTTTTTTATTCAGCCTTGCGCGAAGAACTTGAAGATTGTAAATAAGATGATGAACAACTGTTACGCTGGATTGTGGCCTAAGGAGACCTGACAAAGGAGAATAAACTAAAGTGCAAAAATGAGTTAGGAGAAGACAGCTGCATCTGTAAGCCATCACTTACTAGGTATGTGCCTCTTGTGTTTTACACTACTCTGCTTTGTCTATATACACGTGTGTGTACACTATCAGGCTTAAGAGTTGGGAATTAATGCTTATTCAGGGGCGTGAATAATGCCAAATAATTTTGTCAATAATATCAATAATGTCATTAATTTTGTCATAAATAATTTGTCATTATTCACCCCTGGTATATATATGTAGATAGTTTAGGAATAATTATCTGAAAGATAATTCGACTGTAAGTAATGTGGGAAATGTTTTTTCTGCAGATAAGCCAACGAAAGTAAAGGATTTTGATAGTAACGGATGTTACTAATAAATCTGTTCTCCTCAAGTGGAAAAGCCAGAGGATGATGGAGGAATAGTATTACAGGTTATGCCTTTTCTGATGTGACAACCCAAAACATTTTAATTATGAAGTCATACTACTAACATATATAGTATTGTACATAGTTATGTCATCTTAATAGTTAGATGCTTTTTAGTCTCACTTGAAATAATTCAATGTACTTTTAGATATGTGACCAAATTAAACAAATTGTTTATAAAAATATGTGATGATATGATACACCATATGTGCCTGTGTGTTATACAATCTTGGGTTTATGTTCCCTTGATATTTCCCACAGGTACATGTTGCTATTTATTAATTAAATGAGCATTTCTATACATGTATAGGCATTTCGTTTAATTCATAAAACATGACAGTCTTGAGGTTGATATCATGGTGCTTATATCTGACATGATCAGACATGTAACATCTGTGTGACATTCAGTTTTGCTTTGTCACTACGTTGTTGAGAAGAAAGAAGTGAATGCAACTGCATGGGTTAGGATTACGATGCCCAAGGACTCCAGAGCTCGCTACAGAGACAGAGATGAAGTTTTACAGTGCTGACTGGCTTGAAGCATCATGAGTTCCTCTTCCGTGAAGTGCCAGAGGAACAAATTGGAGGAGTGACCCATTGGGAGACTAAAGACGGCAACTATCACAAGAAACCACAGGCTAGGACGTTTTTTGCTACTATATTGCTATTTAGAATATTGCCATTTTGGTGCCAAAGCTGCTTGGTATGATCATGTTTTCTAACCAATGGTATATTTGTCTAAATTATCACTGTTACTAAGCGTGACATCAATGTCCCATCTTTCCTGCTGAAAAGGAATTCTATTTTCCATTAATATGCTGTAATAATGTGATATATATTTCTCCTTCACGCAGCACCTCCAAATTGACTTGCCTGAGGACATGAAAAAAGGAGTTTACTTCCATGGAGGAGACACACTAGCTCTTGGAGATTCCCTTCACTTCCTACCCACTCCAGAAGTTACCTGGTTTTAGGATGATAAACAATGAACGGTATATATATAGTTTGGTCTTTCGATATGGCAATGTGGAAATTGTTAGTGCTGCTGAGATATGTCATTCAGGACATAAAGTTTAAGCTAACATTAATTAATGTTTAATTTTTCCTGTTTAGCCTGACAAGCGAATAAGATAGATGTTCTTGAGGACAGACGCGTTTGTCTATTGACCACGATGGCTGTGAGCAGAGGACATGCGGGACAATACAAGCTGAAGGTGAAGAATGACCTTGGTGAAGATACTGTCAACATCCCTGTCACTGTCATTGGTAAGCGATTATATTCATGGAATGAACTCTGTAATGATTGAATGATGATTTATTCAAGTTTTACTACGTTTTGACGATGCTATTCTAGTTTTCTATATTACGATATTAATGGATGTTTTATCGTGTTTTATATGTTTTACGATGCTTTAACTATGCAATGATGTTTATCGTGTTTTATAATGTTTTACGATGTTTAACTATGCAATGATGTTTATCGTGTTTTATAATGTTTTACGATGTTTAACTATGCAATGATGTTTATCGTGTTTTATAATGTTTTACGATGTTTAACTATGCAATGATGTTTATCATGTTTTGCTATGTTTTACGATGTTTAACTATGCAATGATGTTTATCATGTTTTTGCTATGTTTTACGATGTTTAACTATGCAATGATGTTTATCATGCTTTTGCTATGTTTTACGATGTTTACTATGCAATGATGTTTATCATGTTCTGCTATTGGCTTGCCATTGAACAGCCAGGTGACTTCAGGTGCAGGAATGGCTCTGTATGGGATCTCTAACTTGATGGGCTGTCCTGCCTTTACAGTTAAACCATCCTTGTATTTGTCTCCAACCTTCAGTTCAGGGGCAGCTACAGGAAGAAAGTTCAATTTAAATTAGAAAGACCTTTAATGTATGATATCATTAATGAACAACAGCTGCTTGTTTTGAGTAATAGCAAGATAAGAGGATAGCAATGTCTTCTCTTGCTAGTCGCTAGTTAGGGGTCGTTCACAATTATTTAATTCCTTATACACATTTATAACATTTTCACAAGCGTACAAACCGTACGCTGGGGGGATGCCCGCCGTACGCTTTCACCATTCCAAAAAAATGTTGATTCATTTCCCGCGCCGCGCGCGCATTCTCACGCTGCTACGCGCCGAGCCCCGCACGGGCCCGCTGAACGAACGAACCGAGATAGCTAGCTAGCAGCCGAGTGCAACGTAAACAACCGGCTTGATGGCGGTTTTGCATGTAATTCATATACATGTATCTCTATGCAGAATAGTGTGAAAAAACTCCCTTTTAGGGGGAAGGGGGGGTCTCAAAAAGTGTACGCTTTGTACGCTTGTGAAAATGTTGATAATTGTGAACGACCCCTTAGTGACACATATCATAATAGTATTAATACAGTAATTCTAACACGTTAGAAACAGATGTACCAAGTTGGCACTTTACAGCCATACCTCATTCTGTGACACAGATGACCAAATAATAATAATACAATAAGCTAATTCCATAAACACGTCTTTTGTGTACAGTAGCTGTGACAAACCTAGTCTCAAAAATTGCACACTAGATAGAGATTGTGAAATTAAACTTGATATATACTAATTATAGAAAAAAAACAAGCATACATTTCTAAATACCGATAAGGTGCTTATACTAAGATAATGTAGTCATTCTTACTTGGTTTATCTTGGGCAACAAATGGTTTGCCGACTTCTTTAGCTGGACCAGCACCCATTTCATTTTCTGCAGTGACTCTAACCTTGTACTCATGGTCCTCCTTGAGGTTAGGAAGATTAGTACAGGTATCCTTTGTCTTGGTAACCCTCTTCCACCTGTAAATTATTTACAGATATAAAGACCTGACAGCTCTTCATTTTCAATGTGGTTTTTTACATGTAGAGATAAATCATTATCGCGACGAATCGCTGCATGACAAATTGTATATCATACCTGTCTGGTGCGTCATCCATGTCACAGATTTCAACCTGGTAGCCAAGTACCTCAGCTCCACCACAGTCCTCTGGCTCATCCCATTCAACCTTAGCTTCGTTAGAATTAACGTCGACAACTCTGACTTCCTTTGGAACATCTGGTTTGTCTATAAGAAGAAATGTGAGAATGATGTACAAATGGAATCGATCAATTTGCTGTTGATACAACTGAAAATATATGTCAACATGCAAGTAATATACTGCTATTAAGCCGATTATTACTGTTGTACAAATTTGCTCATGATATGTACGTATTTCTATTTGTTAAATACTCAATGTAATACATGAACATCTTTATTAGTTTTCTCTACTTCAAATACAAACATTGATACTTTACTCGTTATACTCACCTATGACATTAACATCAACAGTAAAACTGTCGTGGCCTAGCTCATTCTCAACCTTGATGGTATATTCTCCCTTATCACTCCTCTTTGTTTTCTTCACTGTAACATTGGATTTTGCTTTGGTAGATTCCACCTGTAACATGTTAGCAGATTATACTCCCGATCATGATAGCTGACAGGATAGCTAACAGCATAGCTGACAGTAACATTCAACAGTAGAATTGCAACAAATGTAAACGATGAACTAGAGAACATACTGCTACAATAAAATTTATATAATGGCGTATAATATATTCGTCAACTACCTTTGTCCTGCTATCTTCTTCAAGAGGTTTGCCATTGTACGTCCACGTGACCTCAGGAGCAGGGATAGCTTTATATGGGATCTCAAGTTTGATAGGTTGTCCTGCCTTTACAGTTAATCCCTTATCATATGTATTTCCGACATGGAGGGATGGTGCCACTAATAAAATAGTACACAAATGTAAATGTTTTTTTTAGCATATATGTTTACATAGATGAATTTAGAGGATGGTTAACGTAACGAAATGCTTCACAGATAAACATCATTGCATAGTTAAACATCGTAAAACATAGTAAAACATGATAAACATCATTAAATAATTAAAGATCGTAAAACCTAGTAAAACTTGATAAACATCATTCAATCATTACAGAGTTCATTCCATGAATATATCTGCTTACCGATGACAGTGACAGGGATGTTGACAGTATCTTCACCAAGGTCATTCTTCACCTTCAGCTTGTATTGTCCCATGTCCTCTCTCACAGCCTCGTGGTCAATAGACACGACCGTCTTGTCCTCAAGAACATCTATCTTTATTCGCTTGTCAGGCTAAACAGGAAAAATTAAACATTAAAAACAGGATCACCATGTACATATGTGTTGAGCAATTGTACAGCCATATAACGAATTAGGTATTGGTTTGTTTTAGTTAAATGTTTTGGGTTTGTGGCATACTATCTGTATAAATGCTTGCTACGTTGCATAGCAGTTTTGTCATTCACGTTGCAAGAATAAATCCAATAAAAATCTACATCACAAAAACAAATTACCCTAAGGTTAAAATTAATGTTAGCTTAAACTTATGTGCATAGGTTCTGGAATGACATATCTCAGCAGCACTACAATTTCCCAATTGCCATATCGAAAGACAAACTATATATATACCTTCATTGGTTTATCATCCTTAAACCAGGTAACTTCTGGAGGTGGGTAGGAAGTGAAGGGAATCTCCAAGAGCAGTGTGTCTCCTCCATGGAATGTAACTCCGTTTTTCATGTCCTCAGGCAAGTCAATCTTTGGAGGTGCTGTGAAGGAGAATATATATCACATTATTACAGCATATTAATGTGAAATAGAATTCCTTTTCAGCAGGAAAGATGGGACATTGATCTCACGCTTAGTAACAGTGATAATTTAGACAAATAACACATTGGTTAGAAAACATGATCATACCAAGAAGCTTTGGCACCAAAATGCAATATTCTAAATAGCAATAGTAGCAAAAATGCGTCCTATACCTGGTGGTTTCTTTGTGATAGTTCCCTCTTTAGTCTCCAATGGGTCACTCCTTCCAATTTTGTTCTCTGCACTTACACGGAAGAGGTACTCATGATCTTCAGCCAGGTCAGGCACTGTAAACTTCATCTCTGTCTCTGTAGCGACCTTGGAGTCCTTGGGCATCGTAATCCTAACCCATGCAGTTGCGTTCACTTCTTTCTTCTCAACAACGTATGCTGACAAAGCAAAACTGAATGTCACACAGATGTTACATGTCTAGACATGTCAGATATAAGCACCATGATATCAACCTCAAGACTGTCATGTTTATGAATTAAACGAAATGCCTATACATGTATAGAAATGCATCATTTAATTAATAAATAGCAACATGTACCTGTGGGAAATATCAAGGGAACATAAACCCAAGATGTATAACACCAACAGCACATATGGTGTATGCCTATCATCACATATTTTTATAAACAATTTGTCTTAATTTGGTCACATATCTAAAAGTACATTGAATTATTTCAAGTGAGACTAAAAGCATCTAACTATTAAGATGACATAACTATGTACAATACTATATATGTTAGTAGTATGACTTCATAATTAAAATGTTTTGGGTTGTCACATCAGAAAAGGCATACCTGTAATACTAGTTCCTCCATCATCCTCTGGCTTTTTCCACTTGAGGAGAACAGATTTATTAGTAACATCCGTTACTATCAAATCCTTTACTTTCGTTGGCTTATCTGCAGAAAAAAACATTGCCCACATTACTTACAGAAAATTACTTACAGTCGAATTATCTTTCAGATAATTATTCCTAAACTATCTACATTATATATACCAGGAGGTGAATAATGACAAATTATTTATGACAAAATTAATGACATTATTGATATTATTGACAAAATTATTTGGCATTATTCACCGCCTGAATATACATTATGTTCCAACTCTTAGCCTGATAGTGTACACACACGGTGTATATAGACAAAGCAGAGTAGTGTAAAACACGAGAGGCACATACCTAGTATAGTGATGGCTACAGATGCACTGTCTTCTCCTAACTCATTTTTCAACTTTAGTTTATATTCTCCTTTGTCAGGTCTCTTAGCCACATCCAACGTGACAGTTGTTTCATCATCTTTATTTACAATCTTCAAGTTCTTCGCAGGCTGAATAAAAAAAGCCAATGATGTAATCGATTATTGTCGATAGCGGTTACTAATGTCACTTACAGAAAAATAATATTATTAGCATAGCATCAGGCATACATGTTACACAATATGTGAACATTTCAAAATAACAAAAAGCTGAGCACAAAAAAAAACAAGCACACACCATCACATTATGTATATAAACTTAGAATGAGACACAACATTATATACAAGGATCATTATCATATCACAAGACATAATCATGTTCTATGGTAGACACTATCATATTACATATAGAAATAATTGTAAATTTAAAAGTGGATTTTCATGTATGATCTAGATTTCATACACTACCTTCAAGGGCTTTCCATCCTTGGTCCATGTAACCTCTGGTACTGGGTTACCAGTGAACGGAATCTCTAATTTTAGATCCTGGCCAGCATTCAGAGTAATGCCCTGCGCATATTCTTCAGGCATTGCAATCTTTGGTGGAGCTAGTATATAAAGGAGAAATTAAGTACACATTGGCAAGTATATGTCAGTAAATTCATGCTTGGCTTATGTTCATATGTTACACTAATTGTCCACAATAAAGGTGCAATTCAAGTAAACATACCAGTACAAGTAATAAAATAAGTGTACGCAGAAAATGATAGCATACCAGGTGGTGCCTTGATCAGGACATGTTCAGTGAGCCTTACAGGTGTACTTTCTCCAACTTCATTCGTGGCTCGTAGGCGGAAGTTATATTCATTTCCCTCCACCAAATCACTCACTGCAAATAACACACATTGACATGCGATTATGGTTGGGACCAGATCCCCATAAATAGAAGACAGATACACACAAATAGATAAAAACCTTAAATTTTATCATTTGCCTTGACATTTAAATCATCGCTTCATTTTTAGTGGGTTTGTCTCGATGACATCCACATGAAATACATATACATTAATAATTTATTATTTATTAATTAATAATTAATAACGCATTTAATAAATACATAATTTCATTTAAAAATTTGTACATTGATCCTAAATATGAAATAAATAGGCATGCCAGAATACTCTGTTTCAGGTATAACCAACCTTTAGTCTTCAGCTCCTTGGTGTTGGCAACATTTTCCCATTCATCTGCATTCTTCTTGCGCTTGTCAACAATGTAACCCGTTATCTCCTTTCCACCATCATCTTCAGGCTTTTTCCATGTCAGGGTGACAGAGTCAGCAGTAATATTGGCCACCTTTAGATCTTGAGGTGGTTTAGGCTTGTCTGTAAAAAAGCCAGTACCGCTTTTAGCCAAGCAGTGATGATTCAAGAGAATAACCAGGAAATAACATTTAATTTTAGCTTATAGTGAAAGATCAGTACACACTTGTATGAGATGTCATTTCATTTTGCATATCACACATATTATTATTTTTAACTGCAATTAAGGTGAAAATGCGAGCTTACCAATGACATTGACAGGAATAGTGACACTCTGTTCTCCTTCATCATTTTTCAGCTTCAGTTTGAAGTCGCCCTTGTCCTCTCTAATTGCATCCTTTACTGTCATAATAGTCCTATGCCTGTTGGAATCAACCTGTAAGCGACCCAAATTAATATGGCAATTCATTAAAGCATAATTATAACATTATTGAGTGAATATCATTTTAATGTTGAAAATGTTTGTTTACACTTCCATACTGCATTTTACACATAAAAAGGTTTTCACTGTTTATTGTTAAAAGCAATGTTTTCTGATTATATATATATATAATAAAAACAGGGCGTGCAAAGAGATGCAAAAAGTAGCTGTCTATAGTTATTACCTCCGCGCAACGGAGTTGCAGGGAGGTAATGTAATCGGTCTCGTGTGTGTGTTCGTGTGTGTGTTCGTGTGTGTGTTCGTGTGTGTGTTCGTGTGTGTGTGTAGCGTTAGCGCGATCGATTCAGCACCAGCTTGCCTTAGGGCGTCCAGTCAGCAGCAGCTCGCCTTAGGGGATCCAGCCAGCAGCGAGCCAGCTGTTATACACATGTATACATGTTACACGCTCGCGGAGGTATGCACTCTCTTTGAGTGCCCTCTGTCTAGTTACCTTTGTCCTCTTGTCCTCAACCAAAGGCTTGCCTCTGGCAGTCCAGGTGACTTCCGGTGCAGGAATAGCTCTGTAAGGAATCTCCAACTTGATGGTTTCACCTGCCTTCACTGTTATTCCCTTCTTCACCTCATCAATATTCTTGAACTCTGGTGGAACTGCAAATAAATTTAAAAACAATGAACCAGATGTCTTGATTGCTAGTAGATAACAATAGATGCTATAGATGGTCATTATATGTGCTTTTCTCTTACCATCAATTTCCATAAAAACAGTCATTGATTTACCACATTAAACTGTGCAAAATGTGAAAGTATATTTACAGTTAAAGGGACAGTAGCCTCTAGGACTTTACTGCATACAACTGTACATACTGTATAACAAATCGTCTATACCCACACGTATTTGTTACCAGATACCTAATTTAATTGTTATAATTAATTACACATCAACGCTACGAAATTTGAATGGCGCCATGACACCCGCGACCGTGCTGCCACCCCGAAAAAGTTGCGTATTTGACAATTTATTTTGCATGTTACAGACCGAGGGCTAATCACAAAAGTGCAATTATATTCATACCTAAATGCTATTTAACCGAACGATATTCATTTTAGGGCAAATTTATCCATATTATAACTGAAACTATATGTCGTTTATAAGATATTACAATCCTTTTAAATGAATAAATAAGAAACGGTCTCGGTCTGTAACCCTTGGCTGGAAAGTGGTTTTGCGCAACTTATCAGATCACACACTTTGAGTGGCGCCACCGTCGTTGTAATCCAATTGTAGTCGTTAGTTTTAAAACATTAACAACAAAATATATCGAATGGTGATTGAACCATGAAACTTTTTATGCAGCGTAATTATAACCTAAATTAGCTGAAAATAACCCTAGAACCTAAAGTAAACTCTCCCTTTAAATTAAAATTATTTCAATTAAACTTCCCCGGTACTAATAAGACACATGTATTCATCATTCTCACTTGGTTTATCTTGCGCAACAAATGGTTTTGTAACTTCTTTGGATGGACCGGTTCCCATTTCATTCTCTGCAGAAACTCTGACCTTGTATTCATGATCTTCTTTGAGATTAGGCACTTTCATGCTTTTGTCCTTGGTTTTGCCAACCTTTTTCCACCTGCAAAACGTTAATGCAGAAAATTGTTCTACATTGCGTAATTTGTGTAAAGGAAGAAAGAGTTGAAATCAGATGAAGCCCACTGATCATTTACCTGCCAGGTGCTTCCTCCTCATCACAGATCTCAACAACAAAGTCCAAGATCTCAACTCCACCCTTGTCAGCTGGTTCATCCCACTCCACCATTGCATCTTTAGAGGTGATCTCCTGCACTCTCACCTCCTTCGGTGCTTCTGGCTTATCTATAATGTGTTGAAGAAATATAAAAATTGTGCGTAAATACTACGTAAATAAAATTTAAATTTGAGAAATATCACAACAGTGGTAAAGATTAAATTAACCCCAAACTGGTTGCTTGACATATTTTATTCATTCTCTTTACCACAATTACATAGTAAAATGACAACTATTATGATATAAAAACATTAAAAATGATATTAATAGTAATAATATTCTATACATTGGTGTAGGAACAACGATAATGTATGACAAACATGTTGTTTAAGATTACAAACACACTCGTATATAAGCAAGGAGTCAACATCAATGTGCTTTGGTAACTTACCGATGACATTGACATTAACAGACATCGTCTCCTCTCCCATGTCATTCTTAATCTTTATTGTGTACTCTCCCTTGTCGTCGGCCCTGGTGGAATCTTTCACGGTCACGATGGACTTCTTACTGCCTGACTCCACCTGCAGCCAATACATGAAAACCATTAATGTGTATGAACGTCACAAAGTAGACTTAACTCAGTTTGGCATGACTGGTTTTTACTATCAGGTCTACACTGCAAACTTATGCCATACATTAATGGACTGCTTGACATGACCTTTTGTCTAGATATCTCGTGGTGTCACCAGATGCTACAATACTGTGACTGATCAGGAGGAACTGCAATAACCATACAGGATAGTTTGCTATACAGCTTGGTAGGTTATAAAAATACAGGGCAAAAGGTATGCTTATACATTTTCACCCACTATGCATAAGCCTGCTAGTGCCTGACTGCTCTGTACAAGGTTTATAACAGCATTTTCGCAAAAGGGTTTAAATAGCAGTTCTCGACAAGTGAACAGTCTAACGAAGTGGCTGCAAACCTAGGTTTGACCGTCAATGTGAGTTTTAGCACATAACTAATCTAGCCAAAACATTACATTTGTTTTCTTGTGATCCTTGATTGGCTTGCCATTGAACAGCCAGGTGACTTCAGGTGCAGGAATGGCTCTGTATGGGATCTCTAACTTGATAGGCTGTCCTGCCTTTACAGTTAAGCCATCCTTGTATTTGTCTCCAATCTTCAGTTCAGGTGCACCTATAAGTTGAAGTAGTAAACACAGAGATTTTCATGAAGAAACAATACTTATGAATAACGTATGATCAAGCATCTATTATTAGCAAGAGTATAGTACTGGATCACAGTTTCTTTGTAGTGGAAGGGCTAAATAACAGCAATGACCATTATACCTATAGTTTTAGTGTGAATAATGAAGTATGGCAGATGGAAAAATAATTTATAAACTTACTGGCTATGTAAAGCATCTCTCTACGATGCAATTCACACATAAGAAATTATTAAATCTTAATTGTCTTCTTTGTAAACTGTAAGAGTTTCTGTAATACGGTCAATTATAAATCATACTTACATGGTTTATCCTGGCAAATAAATGATTTGTACTTCCTTGGCTGGACCGGTTCCAACTTCATTCTCTGCAGAGACTCTGACCTTGTACTCGTGGTCTTCTTTGAGGTTAGGCACTGTAACGCTCTTGTCCTTTGTTTTGGCCACCTTTTTCCACCTGAAATAACATATTAAGAAAATGATAGAATTAAATATAAGATAGAGTTAATAAAAATAGAAAAAATAGTCAATAAGAGTTAAAGTTTGACATTTTAGTCACGACACATAATACAACGTTGTAATAAATGTGAGCATAATTTATTATGGCAAGCGATTGAAGCCCACCAGCCACTTACCTGCCAGGTGAAGCACTGATCACTTACCTGCCAGTGCATGATCACTACTGCAGGTGAAGCACTGATCACTTACCTGCCAGGTGAAGCACTGATCACTTACCTGCCAGGTGAAGCACTGATCACTTACCTGCCAGGTGCTTCTCTCATCACAGATCTCAACAACAAAGTCCAAGATCTCAACTCCACCATCGTCGGCTGGTTCATCCCACTCCACTACGGCCTCATGAGACGTCACGTCGCGTGCTCTCACCTCTTTAGGGGCTTCTGGTTTGTCTGTAATGTGTCAAACAGATATAAGCAAAGAATTAGATTCTCAATAACAGTTTCATGTGTGTCATTGACGCTTAATGGTATTCGCATACGAAAATGTTCTGTCAGTTAATTAAAACGATCAATCAGTGTAGATCAAATAAGTGTAGGTAGTTATCATGCCTATCACTTTACTGCACTGGCAGTAAGTCCTGAATATATATGTTGCAGTGTAACCTAGTCATCTTAATGCAAATTAATCTTGATACGAGAAAGGACTGCAATAATTATATGTTATCTTATATGTTTAATTCACAGGTTCTCTCAAAGTAACATTTTTAACGATAATGCCAGTCATTATATACAGCATAGTTCACTTGGATTATGCACAAATTTCTAACATTAATCATTAAGTCACCATAAACAAAAATTGTTATGGTAGAAACATGATTGATGTCCAATGCATTAGTGTACGCTACATACTGTATGATAAACATGAACAAAATATGACAAACTACATTTTAGAAAAGAGTTACTACAAGGACTTGATAACTATGGATTTAGCCTATTTACCGATGACATTGACATAACAGACATCGTCTCCTCTCCCATGTCATTCTTAATCTTTATTGTGTACTTCCGCTTGTCGTCGACCCTGGTGGAATCTTTCACGGTCACGATGGACTTCTTACTGCCTGACTCCACCTGCAGCAAATATATTAAACATCAATATAGGTAACACATGAGTTAGACTCATCTGTCCTATGTACCTTTGTAGCTAATATGTTTATCAAGCAGTATACTGAATACTATTAGCACACTTTAGATTATCCCAACATCAGCACACATAAGGATGTTGGGGGGGGGGGGTCACTTTTTACACTTTTTATTACAGCATTAGCAAAACTGAAAAGAAATCAGATTTTTTAGGAATTTTTCAGCGACTTGAAAGTCTGTGTGACATAATCAATCTAGAGCCAAACATTACATTTGTTTTCTTGTGATCCTTGATTGGCTTTTCCATTGAACAGCCAGGTGACTTCAGGTGCAGGTATGGCTCTATATGGGATCTCTAACTTGATAGGCTGTCCTGCCTTTACAGTTAAGCCATCCTTGTATTTGTCTCCAACCTTCAGTTCAGGGGCAGCTACAGGAAAAAAGATTAAAAATAGTTAAATTTAAATTAGAAAGACCTTTAATGTATGATATCATTAATAATAAACACACCTGCTTTTTTGAGTATAGCATGATAAGAGGATAGCAATGTCTTCTATTGCAGTCGTAGTTAGGGGTCGTCAATTTATTAATTTTTATACACATTTATAACATTTTCACAAGCGTACAAACTGTCAATGCCGCGTACGCTTTCAGCATTTCTGAAAATGTTGATCCATTTGCTTGCGCCGCGCGCCCAGCCGCATCGCACGCATCCTCACGCCGCGACGCGCGACGAGCCCCTGCCGCCCGCGCAACGCAGGGACCGCTGAACAACAAACCTAGCTAGCTAGTAGCAGCAAGTGCAGTGTAAACAACCGCGCGATGGCGGTTTTGCATGTAATTCATATACATGTAATCTATGTAGATTAGTGTGAACAAAAATCAACATTTTTCTTCATACACTTTTGGGGAGTCTCAAAAAGTGTACGCTTATACGCTTGTGAATCTTGATAATTGTGAACGACCCTTAGTGACACATATCATAATAGTATTAATACAGTAATTCTAACCCGTTAGAAACAGATGTACAAAGTTGGCACTTTACAGCCATACCTCATTCTGTGACACAGATGACCAAATAATAATAATATACAATAAGCTAATTCCATAAACAGGTCTTTTGTGTAGCCTGTGACAAACCTAGTCTCAAAATTGTACACTAGATAGAGATTGTGAAATTAAACTTGATATATACTAATTATAGAAAAAAAAACAGCATACATTTAAATACCAATAAGTGCTTTACTAAGATAATGTAGTCATTCTTACTTGTTTATCTTGGGCAACAAATGGTTTGCGACTTCTTTAGCTGACAGCCCCATTTCATTTTCTGCAGTGACTCTAACCTTGTACTCGTACTTGGTCCTCTTGAGGTTAGGAAGATTTGTACAGGTATCCTTTGTCTTGGTAACCCTCTTCCACCTGTAAATTATTTACAGATATAAAGACCTGAGAGCTCTTCATTTCACATGTGGTTTGTTACATGTAGAGATAAATCATTATCGCGACGAATCAATGCATGACAAATTGTATTATATACTGTCTGTGCGTCATCCATGTCACAGATTTCAACCTGGTAGCAAGTACCTCAGCTCCACCACAGTCTTCTGGCTCATCCATTCACCTTAGCTTCGTTAGAATTAACGTCGACAACTCTGACTTCTTTGGAACATCTGGTTTGTCTATAAGAAGAAATGTGAGATGATGTACAAATGGAATCGATCAATTTGGCTGTTGATACAACTGAAAATATATGTCAACATGCAAGTAATATACTGCTATTAAGCCGATTATTATGTTGTACAAATTTGCTCATGATATGTACATATTTCTATTGTTAAATACTCAATGTAATACTGAACATCTTTATTAGTTTTCTCTAATTCAAATACAAACATTGATACCTTATCTTATACTCACCTATGACATTAACATCAACAGTAAAACTGTCATGCCTAGCTCATTCTCAACCTTGATGGTATATTCTCCCTTATCACTCCTTCTTTGTTTTCTTCACTGTAACATTGGATTTTGCTTTGGTAGATTCCACCTGTAACATGTTAGCAGATTATACTCCCGATCATGGTGATCATGATAGCTGACAGTATAGCTAACAGCATAGCTGACAGTAACATTCAACAGTAGAATTGCAACAAATGTAAACGATGAACTAGAGAACATACTGCTACAATAAAATTTATATAATAGCATATAATATATTCGTCAACTACCTTTGTCCTGTTATCTTCTTCAAGAGGTTTGCCATTGTACGTCCACGTGACCGTCAGGAGCAGGGATAGCTTTATATGGGATCTCAAGTTTGATAGGTTGTCCTGCCTTTACAGTTATCCTTATCATATGTATTTCCGACATGGAGGGATGGTGCCACATAATAAAATAGTACACAATGTAAATGTTTTTTTTAGCATATATGTTTACATAGATGAATTTAGAGGATGGTTAACGTAACGAAATGCTTTACGTTTACACAAAATAAACGATTTCCTTTTGCCTCTTGCACGCTTTAACAAAATGACTTACTTGGCTTGTCTTGGGCAACAAATGGTTTCTCAGCTTCCTTCGGTTCACCTTTTCCCATTGCATTCTCAGCAATAACTCTGACCTTGTACTCATGATCTTCTTTGAGATTATGTAAGCTTGCAAGACCATCATTGTTTTTAGCCACTTGACGCCACCTGAAATGGAGACAGCCACCTGACTAAATTCAAGTCTCTGACAGACAATATGTGGCAGTATTAAGTAGTAAATTGTTTGGGCTTTATCTGTATGAATATCAGTATCTTATTATAATGCATAATTATATATAGAAATAAAGCTATAAACAATTTATAATGAATACATGTTAACACATTGCATACTAACTTGAGTGGGTAACTGATATTACCACTATGCATAATAATACAGCAATATTTTTTATAACAAATAACTAACATGCATAGCATATATCTAAAAATGTTATGATTTATTTATTTATTAATTTCTAAATAATTTTTAAAATTAATGTTTTCATTGATTAAGGATTAATGTGTGACAAACCACACGCACCTGTCTGGAGCCTCATCCATGTCACATATCTCCACAATGAAGTCCCGAATCTCGGCACCACCATCATCCTCCGGTGCATCCCACGCTACTGTTGCCTCTTTGGCTGTCACATCCTTCATTCGCACCTCCTTAGGTGCAGCCGGTTTGTCTTTATGACATGACATAAAATAAATTAGTCATTTCAGCTTAAAAATACGAACAACACGATTTGCAAATATTTTGTCCGTCGTCAACCATGAATTTGCGCGATGCATGAAATCGTGTAAGTAAATCACTTTATTCCCACTTGTGAAGTTCGACATGATCTGTCTGGACAGCAATAAAGAGCAGGAATAGTAACAAGACCTTCAACTTACCAATGACCTCTACAGGAACAGTAAACGAATCCTCTCCCAGGTCATTCTTAACTGTGATTTTGTACTCTCCTTTGTCAGCTCTCTTAGAGTCTTTAACCACGACCGAAGAGTTGTTTTTGGTAGTGTCAACCTGGAGAAATGAACAATTTTATAGATCTTTATAAACTCTATCTTATATACTATCAGTTAGATATATGGGATTGTAAGTCAATCAGTTAATGTATATCTATAAATATCCAATTTAATGTATCCTGTCTGCGAATTTAGGCACAGAGTAATAACCGAGTAATGACATGACAGATAATTATTTCCATCATGCTAACACTAGGAAAATGTTCAGGGAAATGACTCATGTTATCATATGTCATGTTTATATATATATGCTTTTCATGAACACATTGCCTTGCAACTCATTTCAGTCTAAGAAAGTTTTAACAAATGAGTATTGCAAAACGTGAAAGGGATTCCGTCAACAAACAATCTCGTGTGGAACATGCAGGTATTCTAATAGCTTGCCTTGATTTTGCCACCTTCTTCCAGGGGCTGGCCATTGAACTCCCACGTTACTTCTGCTGGGGGATTTGACCGGAATGGAATATCCAGCTTGACAGGCTGTCCAGCTTTCACCTTAATTCCATCATTGTACTTGTCACCGATTCTGAGTGATGGTGCACCTAAAACAATATAAATCAATACAAACTTTAGAGCTTTTCGTCTAAAGTACCACTACCGATGTGAGATACTTTTAGCACAAATTATAGAACGGGATATCTAAGAAATGACAATAAATATTACTAACTATAACTAAAGCATGATATTAGTGTAATGATCGATTTAGTTTATAAACATGTTGTTGAGTGCTTAGTATCTCTGATGCCCTCCACCAGACAGAGGTTTTCCTTGCAAAACAGCAGTTTAGGCATTGAAATTTTTTCCAATTTAAAACTCGCAAAAAGAAAGAGCAGGACTGGATTGACAGAGCATGGGTCCACGTATCATTATTAGTATAACTATGACCAACTTCGTAATGGATTCCATAACCATACTCTATTTGGAATCACTATCTCTAACATAAGTCCCGGACAAACTTGAGCCTTAAAGCTAGCAGCACACTTCACCATTTTCGTTGCTCGTACAGGCAATTTTCGTGTGTCGGCATATTTTTGTGGCTGTTGCCCGGCGTCACAGCACACTCACCAAAGTTGCCACACCGAGCAATATTCGGTGGTGCAGAAATCATACGGCTTTGATTGGATCGAACAATTGTGGTCACCACTAAAATTTCCATGGTGAGTGATCGTTGCGCGCCCGCCCCAGTGACCCCCAGGGCCCCGGGCAACACTTGGCCATTTTTGTGGCGACCACGAAAATTGCCTGTACGAGCAACGAAAATGATGAAGTGTGCTGCTAGCTTTAGAACATGATTAATAACGTGTAGGTGCTTACTTGGCTTGTCCTGTGCCAAGACAGGCTGTTCAGTCTCAGCTGGCTTACTGCATCCAGCTGCATTCTCAGCACTGACCCTGAACTTGTACTCATGGTCCTCCTTTAGATCAGTCACGGTTACCCGCTTCGCCTTAGTCGAGGCTACCTTCTTCCACCTAAACCACAATTTTAATACATGACACAACGATAACCTGTGAAAACGACCAAACTACGTATGTACTGAGCACAAGTGTACAATGTACAACACCAATGTATGCACAGTACGATGTATACCTTGTTTCTACCTGTCACTCTTGGTCGCTGGTTTTATGTTGGTTCACATGCTACAGCATTACTATTGTGTTTCAGCTGAATTGTGCTTCATTTCTTCCTGTGCTGTAACTTTAGCTATACTTACTTGTCAGGTGTTTCCTCGTCACAGATTTCAATCTGGAATCCGAGGATTTCAGCTCCTCCATCTTCATCTGGTGAATCCCACTCGACTACAGCATCCTCTGACGTGATATTAGCAACCCTGACGTCGTTCGGTGCAGTTGGAGTGTCTGCACGAGTAAGTACACAAAATGCGACTATCGTACAAGAAATAAACCAGTAAATAAAAAATACAGTCAGAGTAAAAGAAACAGTGACTTGGGAGGGCATGATCAGCTCACAATTAGTGCAGCATCCGTGCAGTGAACATCTGCATTAAGATTTATTCTGCCAATAACTATAAAAATAATTTTTTAATGTATCAAGGCAAAGATGTGCAGATTTCAGCTAAAATAGGGAATAGATTCCTACCGATTACTTTGACAGGAATGATTGCCTCATCTGCTCCATGCTCGTTGACAATCTGTATCTTGTATTCACCGCTGTCATTCATACTCACATCGTCAATGCTGATTATGGACTTGGTGCCCGTGTTACTCACTACTACGCTGTCTGGCAATGGTTCCTAAAATTTAATGCACATACGTCTCAATGTATATTTAATGTATATATCAATGTATACTCAAACTATCTCAATGTAATTTTTACATCTCAAATTTGGACAATTTTGTTAGATCATTATGGGCAACAGATGAGTCATTTTATTTATTGTAAAATTGTATTAATAATGAAATCAGGAGTGAATAAAAATGTGTTTTTTTCACTTCTGATGTCATTAATAAACGAACAATGACAAAAACTATGAAAGATTATATGCTTCTGATAATAATATGAAACGCAGCAATGGTAAATATGTAATTCGCGTTTATGCGCATGGATTTATTGGAACTTTACACACATACCTCATTCATAAGCCAGGCAATTTCAGGTACAGGCGAGCCATCAAATGGAACCTCAAAATTCATAGTTTCGCCCTTCTTAACTGTAATACCCTCCTTCATCTGATCTGACAGCTTGAGTGCAGCTGGTGCTAGATAAAAAAAAGGAGATGTGTCAACCAATCGACTCACCATCACTACAAAAAGATTAAACTACATACTATTTCATTGCATTTTAACTGAGAAAATATCAAATTTACTTTTGTGATCTTTAGCGACGATTCTCTCGGATGGCCGGCTGAATCTTCCTGTCCCCATCCTGTTCTCTGCTGCGACGCGGAACTCATACTCCTCTCCTTCGACGAGTTCATCCAGCCTGTAGGACGTGTCAGTGATGGGCTCCCTTGACACCTTCATCCAGCGCGGGCTGTAACCTAAGCAGTGCCCAGCATACACATATACATGCATGTTAAGAGCATGTGTGTGGTGATTTGGTGTGATTAGACGATGTGGTGGAATTAAATTGCAATTTTGCTGTACAAATTTTAAATTTTTACCGTGCCAGTGTTACATAGTAACTGCATAAGCTGTAGGTAGTTGTGTAATTAAACATCAGATTAATTTAAAATACAAGCCAAAAACATGATTCTGTAATCCTCGCAGTAATTCACAGGAAATACAAAGATTTTCTGGCACTAATAATGTTTAAGCAGGTATTACTCATTGAAGAGCCCTCAACAATATCAATATAGCCTACATAGGATATACATATATATATATATATATATATATATATAATATACACCTTCACACATACATACATACATACACACATATGTACATACATACACACATACCTGTGCGTTTTTCTAAGTGATATCCAGTAACAGGAATTCCAGCATCTTTCTCCGGTGGTTTCCAGTTGATGATACAAGATTCAGGTGTAATGTTGCTAACTTCTGGTGCTGCAGGTGGCTCTGGCTCATCTATGTACAAATTATGCAATATAATTAACACTAGTTATAATAAACCATGTTAATTGTAATATATATATATATATATAAGGCACTTAAAATTCAAGTAAACATAGAGGTAACTAAAAATCTAGAGAGTATAAATATTAAGTACTGTAACTGTGGGACGTATGTGTATTTTGGTTATAATAAAATACTCAGCCTTTGCTTTAAAACAATATTATATACTGTACTTCAGTCATATTGCTGACCTGCTTTTGGACCAGGAGTAAAAATGTAGTAACCACATCGATGGATACTTACACACACAGGGATAACTGATGATATTATCGTTACTCGATTCACATGGTTTGAACGAATGCAAATTAAATATAGCAAGTGAACACCTGAGAACCTACCGAACATATTCTTCGCCGTGATCGGTTGTGATGTCTCGAGGGGTTCACTGTTGCCAGCCTTGCTCTGGGCAGATACACGGAAGTGGTAGCGGTTACCTTCGATGAGGCCGGGAACAGTGTAGGTGCACTCGGTCGCGGTGCCGGCGTCAGTCCACATTTGACGCCTCGCATCACGACGCTCAATACGATAGCCTGTGAGATTCATAACAGACGTTGGCTTATTATAGTAACCATGTTTCTCGCAAAATGGAACTATAATTTCGACCCACACGTTAAGACACAAATGTTCCTAGAGCTGGATTCCTTTAAATAATTCTATTGGAATAGAAGAATACTAAAATGATTCATTTCAGAAAAATCGCTGTAAATAATGCATCCATACTGATAACCCTCACTAAAACATTGACTTCTATGAACAGAAAAGTGTACCTAATCCCAATCATTACTAATTCAGGAGAAGAGCTGCTACATTCACAGGTGCATACCTGTGATAGGACTGCCGCCATCGTCTGCCGGAGGTTCCCAGGCCAGCGTTACTGTATCCACCGTCGTCTCAGGAACTGTCAAGTTTTGTGGTGACTTGGGCTTGTCTACAACGCACAGCGTTAAACAATTAAAAGAGAAAAATAAACTCTACGTAAAATGTATGATGTAAATTCATCACAGTTGGTAGTTATTGCAGGAGGAAGTGTGAATTAGACCAGCTAGAAATATCAAATAGTATGGGGGATAACAGTATAAGAAATTACAAGTTACCATACACAATATATATACTTTATCGTGGTTAGATATTGTTTGGTATCATGTACAAAAAATGTTACTAGAGCAAAAAAAGTGTTACTAGACCTTCACTCCACCAATGTGTTACACTACGTTGTGGACATTTTAAAAGTTCAATGCAATAGGGAATTTACTTAGCAGTAACAGTAGAGGTACCATACCGATACGAACAAGACACCTGCAAGAAAGACATGCATTACAGTACTCTTTTGTTTCATAGAATATTTTCATAGTATATATTAATGATAGTACCTATGATAGTAACAGGAATCTCTGCTGAGTCTTCACCAAGGTCATTCTTTATTTCGACACCATAGCTGCCGGCATCATCTCTGTCCGCTCTAGGTATTTCTAGGATTGCCTTGTCTTCATCCACAGTCACCTTCATTATATGTTATAAAAAGAACAACTATTTATAACACACCACAGCAGTAGTAAATTGCCAGCAACACAGTATCACTAATAATATTGAACGAACAACATAACACAGGTTTTACTAAGAATTGTGAGAGATATATTACCCTAGAGAACACGATAACAATATCTTAATTTATATAAAAAACAGTTTGACCAAAAATATCTCGTTAATTAATGGTTGCTGAAATAATCGGATATTTTTCTCACCTTGGCTCTTCTGCCTAAAGGTTCTCCATTTTTAGTGAATTTCACATCAGGTGTTGGGCATCCAGAGAAAGGCACTTCTATCTTGATAGTATCGCCTCCCTTTACTTTGATTCCATCCCTCAAAAGAGCTTCATCAAGATTTAGCTTGGCAGGCTCTATCATAATAAACAATTACAAGATTTATTATGCAAACTTAGATCTTAATATAAAACATACGAATATAAATATATATGTTATTAAATTTATATCCAGATTTCGCCCCCGAAGGTTGGAATTTTAAGTGATATTATACTTACCCTTGACTACTATGTGACATGTAAGCATACAAAACAATGCATAATCTAACCGAACAATCCCATAACATTTTAATCGATTAAAAATTGTCCCGTGGTAAAATAGCCTCCAATGCTTGTCAGTCAGCAAAATGTTAGACACTGTGACATGATGTATGTACCAAGTGTGTGTTGTGGACTTACCTTCGTAGGTAATGGTCTAAATATCCTAATGCATGAAACAATTCGGTGTAAAATCGAAGAAAAACATTGCACAACTACTGAATTATATTTGAATTATATTCACCAACCTGGTTGTCTCGTAGCTTTAGTGGCTTCCGCAGTTTCCACTGGTGCACTCGCTCCAATCGCATTCACTGCGCTAACACTGAAGCTATAGCTGTGACCCTCCTTCAGCTGAGGTATCGTCCACTCTGTCTCTGTTACATTAGTTGCAACTGTTTCCCATCGGTTGTCTCTAGTATCACGCTTCTCAACAATATAGCCTACAAAACAGAAATGGTGTAAAAAAAATTGCATGTATAAATAAACACGCTGTTTTTTGCTGTGCCAATATTTAACATTATTTATATACACAATTAATTTGATTTATTAGCAAGTCTGTTTAATAATAAATAGCTCTACAGTAGACACTTCTGGAACATTCTGCATGGAGTAAAATAATAACAGAGACAATGACAAAATGTCTTCCTTTTTTTAGAAAAGATGTTCAAGTTTTGGTACCTGTAATTGGACTTCCTCCATCATGTTCAGGCTTCTCCCAAGCAATGGTGATGTTATCCTTTTTCACATCAGTCACTTCAGGTTGCACCGGGCAATGTGGCTTGTCTACAATTAATCAAAAAAGCATAATATAAATACATGTGTGCATGTGTAAAGACATCAAAACTAGTTTTATACCTCATTAACCTGCTATACGTGAAATGACACTTTTTTAATAATGGCTATTTAACCAGAAAATTTATTCAGCTAAAATGAAATCAGCTAATTCACATACCATATCCTATATAAGGACTGGATTTAACTCAGGGATCTATAACACCTCGCAGCTAAATAAAATTAACTATCACATGACTTACCTAGCACAGTGACACTAAACAGTGATTCCTCTTCCCCTTCATCATTGGAAAGCTTAAGCCTATACTCTCCTGCATCAGTGGGTTTAGTTCCAGCTACGTTGAGAATGGTTTTACCTTTCATCACGTCAACCTGTTCAGAGAGGAGCGAATTCATACGACAGATTTCCACAGACTAATAGAATGCTGTAGAAATTTTTTAATTTATTAGGGCTTTTCTATATTGCATTGTCTGCAGAATGGAAAATGATACAATGCAGATAAGCACTAGATGCACATTGCCCATACTGCACTGTGAACTGTGCACTGGAACCACTCCGACTTCAAGTCCCACCATGGTCAATGCTGTTGTGCCCTTGTATAGAACACTTTACCCCGACTTGGTTCAGCCGACATTTGCTTTGCATTTGGTTTATTTCGCCGGTGGGCAACACCAACCTCACCCACATAAAAGTGAGTAGCTTTGCTGGGAAAAATGCAATTCTTACAGAATTTAATGCAACACAGTTGCTGAGGGCCTATGCTACCGAATCAGAGCCAATGACTTAACAAACACAACGCACATGCGATCTGTTGTTGCTCTCTGAAAGCTCGTCGCCGATAAACCACGCCACCTCGGGTGGAGGGGTGCCAGTAAACGGCACCGTCAGAACTAACGTCTCTCCGGCGTTGATGTAGATTTTCTTGTGCTTGTCGTCAAGCAGAGCGTGAGGCGGCGCTGGAAAATAATGAATCACGCAGCTTTCATTTACTGCAATGAGGCACCTAGGTAAGTTAATTACTTTAGTTTAGTTTTGTTTTAGTTACGTATTTTGATTAGAGCATATCAGCTGCTATCAATATTAAAACAATGACCTTGATCCACTTGTCACACAATAAGATTAGCTGCGAACCGCACCTCTACGGTGTCATGGTTGCAATTGATATGCATCATGGTTAGTGTTGTCAATCGGTTGTAATTTTGTAATCGATCATCGGTTGGACCCAAGTAACCGATGATCGGTTACAATCGGTTACTCAGGGTGTTGAATGCCTGTGTGTGCGTAACTTCGTGTGCATGTACGTGTGTGCATGTACGTGTGTGCATGTATGTGCTTGTTTAGCCCTGTTTACTGTTTGTTTTGCACTGTTTACTACTGTGTGTATAATACATGTACTGATTCTCATCACTTTTCCAAGTTTTCTTGTTCAAATAAAAAAAAAAAAATGGGTGATTATGGATTTTGATAACCAAGCGCTTGGTTCGAGCCACTGTTCAACCGATGATCGAGTATAATCGATGATCGTGACATCACTAGGCGCTTGGTTCGAGCCACTGTTCAACCGATGATCGAGTATAATCGATGATCGTGACATCACTAATCATGGTACATAATTGTGAGGCGTCAAGCAGTTGTCAAGATGGAGTAATGCATGTCAACACAGAGGTGTATAATTATAATATATACCTGGTTTATCAACAGCTTCAACTGCTTCATCTGTTTCCACCGCCTCGCTGGCTCCAGCGTCGTTCTCAGAGTGGACTCTAAACTTGTACTTGTTACCTTCCTTTAGCTTTTCCACAACCGTGTGTGTAGTCTTTGTCTTCGTAACCTTTCTCCAAATCTCTTCATCTTCTTCCATGCTGTTATAAAATGTAAGTTAAGAATATTGACACTACCTTTAGCAGGGCAAAAGCATAGAAACAGCACTGTAATAATTTCAAATTTATTGGTTTACAAATGGAATATAGTGCAACAAAGAGTAATGAATAGTGTCAGGGCAAATTAAAGGTTGAACAAAACCAAGAATTTGAATCACGAGAATTAGCCCGTTTCACAAGTTTACATGTGGTCAAACTCACACCATCATAATTTATATTCTTAGTTTTTTTTTTATAGTGTGAGTTTGTACTCTATGAACTCATAGATTCCATCATTCACGCTATACCATTTTAGAATTTACCACTTGTTGCCTAATGAAAGGAAATGAGAAAACAAGAAAGACAATAAATGCCATGTTCAAACTTAACAAGATGAACACGTTGAACACGAAATTACATCGATGATTAATTGTATCAGTTTGCTGTAATTCACTTACACTTCAACAACGTAGTCGATTATATCAGCACCACCAGCATCATCTGGAGCACCCCATTCAAGCGTTGCCTTGTCTGCACTGATATCCACAACCTTAATGTCCGTAGGAGCTGCTGGTTTGTCTGTGGCATAACAAAGATGAACATGAAACAATAGGAAGGGCCTATGCGTGCGTGCTGTGCTGTGCCGTGCCGTGTGTGCGTGCGTAGTACATGCGTGCGTGCGCATGCATGCATGTGTGTATATAATAGCATTTTAATTTCCAGTATATATGCCCAATGGATTGAATATAGAGTAACCACAAGCCGTTACAGATTGATTACACTACGACAGTAACAGTCGTATGTCACCAGCACTAATTATTATTCAATATAATTGCTAAATAAAGCACACTAACTCACCAATCACATTGACAGGTATAGATGCAGAATCCTCTCCAAATTCATTTCCTAGTTTTATACCATAGGAACCAGTATCTTCCTTCTGTGCATCCTTTACTGTTAGCACAGCAGTGTCACCTATTGTCTCAATCTGAAATATAAACAAGACTACATGTTAAATATGTAACGTTATGATTATTAGGTAGGTTTTTGCCCACAATATATTAATTTCACACTGCAAAGCTTGACACATACCCTTGCAAAATTATGGAAATAAAAAAAACATTGATGGTTTTACTATAGCTGGCAGATTAGCTGGAATTAATGATATAATGAACACTAAAACACAAAATTGCATAAATGAACTATCTTCAGATTACATCTTGCAACTCTGAATCGATGACTAGTGTGATCTTGAATTGCTAATTTAGGCAGTTTCTTTCTATACAGTCAATGCACACCAGTTCTTGAAGTTTTTACAATTCAGGTTTGATATGGTATGTGCATGCAGGCAAGGAACTGGCTGAGCATAAGTATTTTACCAAACTGTGCAAAACATGACAGGTCTGGGATGGTCCATATCAAAATTGATTTAAAGAAAACAATACAACATTCTTATTCACGCCAACCTTACTTTAACTCTGTCATCGTTGACAAGCGGTGTGTCTCCACACGTCCACGACACCTCTGGTGGTGGCATTCCACTGAATGGAACTGTGATTTTCAGATCATCTCCAACCTTGACATTCATTCCATTTTTCAGATTTTTACCCAACAGGGCTTTTGGTGGTTCTGCAAAAAACCATTCGTGCTTGTATGAGATTAGCTCTACCAACAGTATAATTAGAGCTAATTATAAGCTGCTTAGATACAATAATGTTACCCAACACAAGAGTAGGGGGTAGTACCCTACTCTTGTGTTGAATTACATTAGTAGTACGGCCCAATCCTAGTTTAGCACCCAGGACTCGATTAGTATAGCACATAATATTGCGAACTATATATCCTGAGGTCCCAATTAAACTAGGATTGTGCACATGAATGTATCAGGGGTGTATAATATAGACATAATTATTAGGAGACATATAATGTAGGAGTCTATATTATTCACTCCTGATTGTATATATACTCTGCTGAAATACGTAGGAAGTATTAGCCAACGACCCTACTCTACTTCTACTCTGTATCCTACTCTTGTTGGGTTACGTTATTGAAACTCTACCCTGCTCTGCTCTGCTCTTTTAGGCAGCTATGCCACAACATAACACAACAATAATCCATGACAGAATAAACGTTTTCCAGAATTATCCACTACATTATGAGTAGTGCAGATGAGAATCTATATACTTTGAACTACATAATAAGTTCCTGATATTGTGTAATACTGTCACTGGTAAACCCTGTTACATGTTAGCAAAAAACTCAACACAAAGAAAAGATCAAAATCGTTGTCACTAGATGGCGCTTTGCATATTTTGTGTACAGTTACTTAGTAACAACCCCAATGGGGGCCGTTCAAGCTTGCGACTCTCATCACGCCAGTGACTGGATGAAACTTCGATCCCAATCAAATGTTGCTGTATATCATAGACGTAAGTATTTAAACTGTTTACGCAATTGTAAGTTTGGTCTCATGTAATATTAATAGGTAACTACAAAGGCTCAGTCAGAGTCAGAGTTAAAATCCACATCGTAGAGGCTATACTAGAGCTCTGTGTTGAATTTGACTGTAGCCGACTGTATGTGTATACAATACCGGTACATTGCCAGCTATTACTGTATTAGTATTAGTATTAGTATTAGTATTACTATTACTCATTAGGCCTATTCATGTGAGCAAGTATGTCAAGATAACCACACCCTACTTAGATATTGTTGGTTAACGTTAGTCGTTAGGCAAGCTAGACCAGTGCCAGTGGCAGTGGCAGTGCCAGTGGCAGTGCAGTGATTTCATCCTCCAAGCAATGCCGTACGATTAGGCCCCTACTGACGAGCACACTGAGTCACAGTGAGTGAAGCAAATATACATTTTGCATTGTTGAAAACAATTACAAAACACACTTGTTTCACCTAGGCCCTACTCACTGACACTGTGACAATAAGTTAACTACGCTGTTAATTGCGGCATGACATCATGCTGGGCCACATTCACACACTATTAATTATTATCCAGAAAGATTTCAAGTAGAGACCTACATAGTAAAATTTAGAATACAATAACACAGCCCACGTGTTTACTATTTTTCATATTTGACTAGTACAGCCTTGTAAAATTCTGACATGATAATTTGTAAGATGCCAATTCAACAAGCATCCTGTGATGCTAATTTCGCTATCTAGATTGAGCTAGCATTAGTTCTTAGACCAGATACCAATCTAAAAATCTACATGTTAGCAAAAACTCAGTCACAACAAGGCGTGAGATTGGATTAAGTGATAGTTTGGCACCCCTGCAATATGTTTTCGGATACATAATGTGCTACACTAATCTGGAGTGCTAAACTAGGCTTGGGCTGTGAGATTTAATTTGAATTAAATTAAATTAATTTAGTAACTGCTTATTTTGGTAGGCGTGAGGAACGTTTTCTCTGTTTAGACTAAGTGTGGTAAAATCATGCAGATTCAGTTCATGAAGGAATTACATTTTGGTACAACACATACCTGGCCATGCCTAGATGGACTTTGCAATAACCATAAAGATTTGGCAAATGTCTGGCTAGACCAGTTTATTACTAATAATCACGTTAGTACTTGACCTTTATAACCTAATTTTATGTCAGTATCGCATGGCAGGTGGCACGATAGGCACTCATTAACCTAATTGAATTTTATTGATTTGTTCCACTCACACTATAACTATAGCTTGCAGTTGGGTAGCTGCACGTACATTGTGCAGTGAAAGTTGCGTATAGTGCCACACGTGCACCCACACAAGAATTCTTGCAAATATTTAGGTTCCAGTGCAAATATTCGGTACTGTATAATTTAAAATGTCAAAGCAAAATCAGCCGTAACTATGTTCCCTCAGGTTTCTTCTTGTCACGCGAGAGGAGAAAAGAGGCAACCTGACGTGTGCATTAACGTGTGCATTCGACTAACGATCATGTCACAAGTTCAAATATTCGGTACTGTATAATATAAAACGTCGAAGCTGTGACTACGTTTCTTCAGGTCTCTTCTTGTCACGAGAGAGGAGAAAGGAAGCAACCTGACGCGGTGACAACTAACGATCATGTCACAAGTCGTGGACCTCGATGAGGAACTGCTGGACAACCTCTACACCTGGATCGACAAGGTCCCGCTGTCGCGGGTCAAGCGTAACCTTGCCCGTGACTTTTCCGACGGCGTCCTCGCAGCAGAGGTTGTCAAATTCTTCTTCCCGCGATTAGTAGAGATACACAACTACGTGTCGGCAAACTCAGTGAATCAGAAGGTCGACAATTGGAACACGCTGAACAGGAAGGTGTTATCAAAGATAAACTTCAACGTCACCCCCGACGTCATAAACCAAATAGTCAACTGCAAGCCGTCCGCGATCGAGTGCGTCCTGAGCAATCTACGAACGAAGATCGACATCGCTTTGTGGAACAACAGGAAGAAAGAGGTGAACGATGAGCTTCCAGACTACTTGCCAAAGCAGGATATGTGCAAGTGCAGTGCTCCTTTAGTAGACGAGCCAAAGGTAGGCATCGACGGCAAAATTGATTCACAGGGCCAAGGAACGATTTCCTACAATGTGCAACGGGAGAACAGCTACAGCAAAATACCTCCCAAGGTGATCACTGTGGGCAAAGAAGGCCAGAAAGTTCAGAAATACGTGCCAATTATTTTGCTCGAGGAAAAAGAGCAAGAAGTGTTGTTAAAAGACGAGACGATACAGATTCTGCAGGCAAAAGTTAGAAGGCAAGAACACTTAATTCACCTCAAAGACATACGAATAGAAGATTTGACAAATCGAATCGAGCAGATGAGACCAACCAAAATTTCTCGTGGCAAGGTTGTAAATAACAAGTGAGGGGGTGGGTGCCTATTCCTATATGAATTATGATTCAGTCTTCTTGTGTTAGCTGGTATAGCTAGCTGAAGTTCACTTAGCCAAGTGCATTCGAGTAGATCTACATAGACATATATTATATACAAGTGACCATGAATGGGCTAAAATGGCTGATTTTGTATATGTTTAAAGTATTTTATACGCAGTATGAGCAATATTATATGTATAGTTTAGACGATTCTTTAAAAGGAAAATGAGAAATCGTACCAATACGAATGACCTTTTGCATTGTATGGGAAAAATTCAGGAAGAAATATTAACTGGGTTATTTTATAGAAGGTTCTTACAATCCCTGTCTACGTATTGTTTTTCTGTACTGACTTGTATGTATTGAACACCTTATTGAAAAAAACACATGGATCCACAGATTACGATACTAGAAAATAACGCTGTGCAAGCTCACCATTGCATTCACGAGCGACAATGACATCAGACGCGGGTCCAGGAGGCCCCGCTCCTGCCTTATTCACAGCTGCCACTCTAAACTCGTATTCCTGGTCCTCAATCAATCCTGATAAAAAGCAGACAATTTAGTATGAATGCTGGGGCCATCTTTACTAATTTGTATCATATAAGCACTGCTAATACATGGTATTCATATTCTTAGTACATTACAAAATCACAAATTCCCTACGTGAGCTTTGGTAAAGCATTTTCCTAACCCATAGATAATAAAAGTTAAAAGTGAGAAGTCATAATTCAAACAGTTAATACATTATTATATAGAAGCTCTAGATAAGGTGTGTACCGTCAATGGTGAATGTTGGCTCCTTGATAGGTTCTCGGGTAACCTTGTTCCAGCGTGGGCTGAAGCTTGTCTTTTTCTCAAGGACGTAACCAGTAATAGGTGATCCACCATTGTCCTCAGGTGGCTCCCATGTCACTTTGCAAGAGTCAGGAGTGATGTTGGATACAATGGGCTTTCCCTTGGGAGCGGTTGGCTCAGCTGCAATAATAATTACAATAATAATGCATCAATAATTGTTAATTGCAATAACAATTTAGAATTTGTCAGATTTAATTCCACTAAATCAGCAAGCTCGATGTTGGGCATTTATGTGACTGATGGCTGAGTTTGTATGCTGTTATTATATATAGCTTGTCTTCTGGATTTCCTTTAACTATAAGCATCACTGTCTTTCCTATCACTCTGGGTTAGTACAATTTTTGATTTTCGTTAGGAGTTTAAAACTGCTGGAGATTAGAGTTAAGTTAGAGATAAGACCAAGTTTGTATACATAGTATCATAAGCATCTTTACAATGTATATAACTTGAATATACATTATAATATACATTTTATACACTGTATACATAGTATCTATATCACGTCTATATTTATATGGAGGCGAGTTGCCTCAAAGGTGTCTCTCATTTCCCCTGACTCCTTCACGCATCATGCATCAACAGAGATCTATACTCTGAGATTTAAAACTTTCATCTTTACAAAAGACATGTGCTATGTCACCTTCACCTCCAATATCATTCTTAAACTGACGTTAAACTGACCATGATTGTACCACGTTTTGCATGGGCAATGCATGGCACTTCATGTAGTCTATATGTTTGTGTGCGTGCGCATGTACAGCATACATTCAAACGTACTAAATTGGTCTTTAACTTCAATTGCTCCCATGGTCTCTGCAGGCTCGCCCTGGCCTTGTCTGTTCTCAGCAGTAACCCTGCACTTGTATTTATTTCCCTCGATAAGGTCAGTAATAGTAAAGGTAGTGTCTTGTGTTCTGCCAGCAACTTGGAACGACTGTCTCTTAGTGTCCCTCCTTTCAATGAGATAGCCTGTATTAAAGAAAATTTTCTCATCAAAAGGTTCCACACAAATCAGTACAGAAGAAAACCTTGTACCATAAACACATACCAAAGATCCAAAGAGGGTATCACGAATCACATACCTTTGATTTCATCGCCACCACTGTCTTTTGGTTCATCCCATGTTAGTGTAATGGAGTCGTGTGTGACCTCAGTCACCTTCAGATCCTGTGGAGGTCCTGGCTTATCTGCAATTATTTAATAATGCGTTAATTAACATGCTATTGGGATACACAAACTATAATACAATGTACTGCAATATTGTTACCAGTTGAGTGCACTTACTAATACTAACTAAATGCTAAAATAATATAATAATAATAATAATAATAATAATAATAATAAATAACTACTAAATGCTAATTACCAATAACATTGACTCTGAATGGCACAGTTTCCTGTCCATGTTCATTTTCGACTATGCACTTGTAGTTGCCTGCATCCTTCCCCTGCACAGGTTTCACTACGAGTTGTGATTTCTTCTCGGATGTCACTACTCTTATTCTGCGAGTCTAAAACAGAGTTCCAATCAGGTGAACGTGTGAGGACACATTGTATGTATGAGTCGAGCAACGTTTGCTTAGTTAACTTATTATTGTTACATTTAATGACTTTATAACACGTGAGGTTGAAAGATTAAATTATATCATAGCTTATAACAAACATATATAATTTCATATATAGGAGGGCAAATTACTTTACACTCCTCACTATGTGTGATTGAGTTTGTAGAAAAATTGGCTAAACTGTCATTTCATCATTCTCTTCTCTGAAACCATTTTTAATTGTATCTTGCAGCATACCTCTGTAATTTCTTGCTCTTCTAAGATCCATGTGACAGTGCATGGAGGGTAACCTTCATAGCCAAGTTCTAGGCTTAGCAGTTCATCAGCACTGACAGTGACTTCCTCAAACCTCTTATCCACAAACACTCTTGGAGGAACTGAAATTAATTATGCAATACAAGACTTTGGGCCTGTCCTTTCTAAGGCACAGTCTCTTGTAGATATGTAAACTAAACTTTCATTTAAATTATATGAATCATGTAGTAATATCAAGAGTGTATAATAATAGACTATTAGTTATAAATTTAAATTAAGAATTATTAATAATCAAATTATTAATCTATTATTATACACTCCTGGTAATATAATATATAGTAAATATAAGTATATAGAGTAGTTTAAGTATTTTATCATAAAGTCAAGGTAGTTCATCTTTTACTTCCAAAAATTAAGGAAGCAAATGCCCTCTTACTCTCAACAGTAACATCAGCTTTTGTTCGGTTGTCTCCAGCCTGGCAGACGTAACGGCCCTTATCTTCCCTAACGACGTCGTTGATAACGAGCTTGCGCAGTGTCCCGTTCTTGACAATCTCATACTTCTCACCAGATTCCTGGTTATAAAAATCAAGTACTTGACACCGTAAAACGTGTACATTTTGTGGCTTTATGGTGGTGCATGCCTGATTGTTCTTTGCATTCGTGCAATGTTTGCATATATGCTATTGCCAATGTAATCTGGAACTATTTCCCTCAGTGGTACTAATTCGTACTGCAGTCCTTTGCATGATGCCAGGCCAGCTTATATGCAACTTACTCTGATGGGTTTCCCATCTTTCAGCCATGTCACGTCAGCATCATCAAATGATACTTCGCACGACAAGGTCACCGTATCGTGCTCTCCACAGCTAACATCTTCCAATTTCCTGATAAATTCTGCTGCTGGAGCCTCTGCATCAAGCACATGTAAACGCCCATTAATGCAAAATGTCAATTAAACATTTAAATACTTTTTTCTGTTTCACTGTACATAAAGCCATCCAATGTGAGGCACATGCGAATGACAAATTTTACATTTTCAATTGTAAATCCTATTTGTACTGGGCGATAACTACATCCCATTACTTGGTCCTCAATGAAAACACTAAGAATATCTAGCTTTTTCTCCCTTCTGCTCAACGGATGGCGCTAGCATGCATTTTTTGACATGACAGCTTACACATCTGCATGACCCCATGCATTATATATGCATTAGATATCACACTTTGATAGGCTAAATCACCCACCTTCCACATTCACGATGCACGCCGTCTGCTTGTTTCCCGTTTGGCAGAAGTACGTTCCGTTGTCGTCGAGAGACGCTTCCCGGATGAACAGCTTGCGCCGACAGCCGTCCTCACTGACCTCAATGCGACCTCCTGGTCTCAACGGTCTCTGGTTCTTCAACCACTTCACCTGCATCAAGTGGAGAGACAGTTTCAGTGATCACTTACACAACTGTTACAACATGTACGACCCAACTGGATATATATATATGTGAATTGGACATAATGTACATATAAGATTCTTCAACCACTTCACCTGCATCAAGTGGAGAGACAGTTTCAGTGATCACTTACACAACTGTTACAACATGTACGACCCAACTGGATATATATATATATATAATTTTATATATATATATATATATTATAACATATATGAATTAGACAGAATGTACATATATAAAACTCGTATTAGGCACGTAGGTGAAATTGGTATGCGAAAGGGTTATAGATAAAAGCAAGGGTAATTCCTGAGAAAAGAAGTAAGGTAATATCATGGAGTATAAACTAGTAATGAGAATCACTAATGAAAGGATGATGTTCAAGAAATATTCCAATGTGTGAAGAAACTTCAGGTATACCTTTACACATTCATTTCTGAAGACGTTACACGAATGGTACTACTGGAATTGGGTTTAGCCCCCTCTCAAAAGCATGTTGTGAGACCAGGCACTGGATTAGAAATAACCGATTTTGGGAGAGTCGTGTTTGAACACACACATACCTCCATGTCCTTGTGGGCAACCTCACACACCAGCTCAATGCTTTCTTTCTCCATAACTTCAACATCTCTAAGCTGTGAACTGAATCCTGGCTCAGCTGCAAATGAACACAAGATTAGCACACTTATATAGATATATATATATATATATATATATAAACCCCTTTTATTCATCAAGAACAAGAAAATGATGTACAGAGAACAGAATATCATTAATTTTTGCTAAGTCATACATTTTACACTCAGCTTGGCTGCTGACTTGTTGCCCTCTAGCTTGCAAGTGTATGTGCCCTGGTCATCCAAGCAAGCTTCCTTTATTGTTAGTGTCAATTTGTTTCTGTCAATCTTAGTGCGGATTCTCTCTCCCGTCTGAATACGGCGTCCGTCCTTCAGCCACTTCACGTTCTGTCAAAGATTTTGAAGGCACTTTTAATGTTGTCTGTTATGCAATGATATTAATAGTTATACAATGACATTACTATCATTTGGCAACATCATTTTGTTTTTGAGTTATAGTCAACGTTAATATGGGACTTATGCGTGAAACCTGTCATATTGCATGACTATAACAAATACTATAATTAGTAAATACGATAATATTCTGAAAACTTATTGAATATATACTAATTAATTTCATGCTAAAACTGGCACTGAGAATAACCTGTAAATACAGGTAATTCGCTTGCATGCACCTGTTTCTGTTTCAACTATTATTTTAGTTTTATTAAAGCAAACATGATACCTTTAGATTATCCTGGTCTACAATGCACTCAAATGTGACAGGGTTTGATTCCATTACTTCCTTGTCCTCCAGCTCCTTAGTGAAACTAGGTGGTGGTTCTGTGGCATTAAGGTAATGACAGTTCATTGCCATTAACAATGTCCACGTACAAACAGTACCAAAGCTTATATTGCTAATGCTACACTCACCTGAAATTGTACACATTATTCCATGTGTGCATTTTTCACATCTATTTTACTTTAACATTAGTGAAACTAAAACACGTTACATTTTCACAAGAAGAGACGATCACAGGATTATTGCACATGGAACCATATACATACATAATTGATACCTGATAATATATAATAAAAACAATAATAGCACAATGATACGGCATATAATGTAAAATTTTAATATTATGTTTAATGAAATCGTTCAAAGCATCCATCACATTCTTACCATTAACAAGGAGGTCCGCAACACACTGCTTGCGACCGCACATGCAGGTGTACACTGCCTCATCATCGAAATCAGCTTCCTTGATGACAAGCGTAATCGTCTTCTTCTCTTCATCTGTGCTCATCTCAAACTTGCTGCTAGGTTTAATTGGAACACCATCTTGCAGCCACTTGATCGCGCCACTCAGTTTATCAACCTCACAGCTAAACTTGGCATCCTGGCCACGGACAACTTCGAGGTCTTCCAGAGGCTTTGTGAAACTAGCATCCGGTTCTGTCGCGTAAAATAAGATTATTTTCAATGGATAACAATCCCATCTTTTAAAAATAGGTCGTACTGCTACTTTTAACTTTTTATTTTCAAAATATAAATTTTTAATATAAACTGTAAAAATATAGACACCATACTACACTTATTACCCATATTAAAAGTTGCTCAAATGCTTAAAAAGTATGACTGTAGTTACAAACTGTTAATTTTATCACATATATATATACATATGACACTATATTTCATCAATTTTGCTTACCTTAATTTGCCATTAAATTCTTTGATAACAATGTACGAAACTGCAAGTTCATCAATGTAGTATATGTACAGCTAGATCCCAAGACCCACATATACCTGTGGTTCGGTACCCACCCCCCTAGGGCTGTGTTACATACCCCACAGCAGCCACTAACCTACATTGCTTCGCAGGGAGTTTAGCACCCACCTCTCTGTCCAATCTGTCCAATGACAACCACTACCTCCAGAGGGTCACTCACTCCGTATACGTTCTCTGCTGCCACACCGACAAAGTACTTGTGGTTTTCGATTAGATCCTCAAAGACAGTGTACGTCTGGTCTGCCTTCAGCCTGTATTATAATTATTTAGTGCCATCAACACACATGCAGGTTAAGATCTGGTTAGCAGAGGGAGTGGCTTCACATCATCTAGTTACTAGAAATGAATAATAGATGGGCATCACTCAGAATAATCCATATTTTGTTAGTAGCTCCTCTTTCAGTTTCAAGGTATTTGTATAATAGCCAGCCATAAAACAAGGCCAGTGTGTTATGGAAGCGGTACTCAAAGCATATTACAGCAGCAATATAAATAAATAGTGGGAAAAGGGTGTATTGGAATACATCAGGCATGAGCTCAATCGACCATTATTTATCAATAACAAGCAAATGAAAGCTATTATACTGCATATATACTATACAACTACAACTCAAAATTATTATTAAAACACACCTAATTAAATAATTACCTGTAAAATTAATAAAATTTAAAAACCTTAGGTTATATGCTTACAACTAATAACAAAAAAAATAATGATCATATATTAAAATGGTCAAGACAAACATACCCATGCAGAGGTAGAAATTAACTTTTGAACAAGCGAGTCCAACGGACTCCGCCTACCACTCAAAAAAGGGAGTCACGGCAAGCAAAATGGAGGGAGTACCGCAGTCGAGTTCAAAAATTAAAGATATTAACAAATAACGCATGTGCCTTCTTTTAAGCATTGCATGCCTGTTGCACGGCTGCAAATGTTCTTATGCACATACGCTAAAAAATACAGTAATCGCGCGAGGCCCCCGTGCTCCGGAACGAAACTAACCAGTTAGTAAGGCGCAGATGTTCAGGGATCACAACGACTCCATGGCAATGTCAATCAGGCGAATCCGACAGTAAATCAGTGGCAGTATTTTGACTCGAACTCATCCCGTTAATTTCGGCACGCCGCCATGCAAGCACTAATATCGGATTTATATAAAATAATAACTGAAAAGCTCAATCTCATGCATGGATGAATGTTTAATAGTATTCCTTATATTCAATAGACAGGAGTGAATAACTAAATATATTATCTATGATAATCTATATATGATGCCCATGATAACTATTATCATTCACTCCTGATAAGATGATGAGAAGCTTCATCTCAAAATGTTCGGATGAAGGATTTCATAATCTCTTTACTAACACTGCTTGACCGCCAGACATCTATTCATATAACGACCACTAAACTCTTGCTGTATTAATAATCGTACATTAGTTTGTGTTACAAGAATCTGTCAACGCCGTCGCCTTTGGTTAGACTACATGCAAACAAAATTCTAAAATACCCCAAATTACTTGGGAACGCGCATTACTCTTAGTAAGCTTATCTTTGAAAAATCAATTAAACTAAGCGGCCCATATAAATATACCAGAAGCAACTGCTATTCAATAGCTCATTCCAGCAGATGACCGCTAAATATGTAGCAGCATTACTTGATGAGTATATTAAAACTACTTAGTCATAGATCTGTTGTCGGTCCGCCCGGGTTGTTATATTGTAACGGCATGATAAATACTCTAAATTTCATAACCTTTAATTAGATATTTAATGTTAGATATGTCAACCTCGCAGACTCACACATATCACAGAATAAAAAAGCAGATCAACCACAAAGCAACCACAGTAAGACTTGCTACAGTCAACACCATCCTTTATAATACAATAGACTGCCAATGATTCCACAACGAGTAGTGAACACCAGTTAAAACTACAGTTGGATCGGTGAGAACAAACTAGAAAAATACCGTCAGGAATGTGCGTTAAATCAACCCAATTACTAATTAAATGACACATCCATCAATAATGCCACACAGACATTAAATTGTGGGTAGCACACCGTGAGGATTTTTGAACGGACACAAATATTAGTTTTAAAATCCAAAACCACCAAGCCATCAGTCAAATCTCAAGGCTGCAAGAGAGTGGTCGGTGTTCTAATTTAGAACAGAGGTCTTGAGATATACACATGCAAAGACGAGTGCACGACAGTGACGAGCCACCTGTATACACTGAGTAACTCGTACGCGCCATCTTACTTCAAGAATTTCGGCTCATTCATTCAAAGTAAGATTGGCGTACTCAATGACATACGGTGCTGGAGCGGCTCGGCTCACTTTTATTGAGGACAGCGGTTGCCAATCGACTCGATCGAGTCATGGGTGAAGAAACAGTGAACACGCGAGAGCGCTGTAGGCACCCACCGGCCCGCTCGGACGGCCGAGCTTCCTCTGCAACACGCAAGCAGTCAGTATACACTCGACCCAGCAAAGGGTTAAAACGTCATTTTCTAAGCATTTCACAAAATAGATAACCACGAAATATAAACTCGACCGGTTTTTCAGCAATTTCAGAAGTATTTCCTTTCAGTTGGGTGGATGGGGAGGAGCCGGGAGGGGGGGGGACCCATATGAAGTCATTGCCATGTGTCATCAAGTGTTCCCCAATATACCATATATGTATACAGGTAAACTCAATCAGTAAATAAGTTTTAAATGGAACAAAATTTATGGCTGTTTGTGAACTCGAATTTTAAAAGACAGCTAGAGTTTTTAGATTGGAGATGGCATTTAAAATATTATCTACATAATTATTGGTACAGCTTTAATTCTACACTCATAAGAGGATGAATCACTACTCCCTTCTCCATGCACCGACGTGTTTTTGCGCGATGTGGGCGCATCAGCACCCTTCGTCTGTTCATAACGAGAATTGCAAGTTAACAAAAAATAGATAATGAAAATGTTGCTATATGTGGCTGAAGTTAATTAAGTATGAATTAGCAGAAAAAGAATAGATTCACCAGTTTCAGGCATATACTACACACTGTATATAACACAGCGCACAGCACGCGCGCGACGCAGACAGCATCGGCGCGCACAGGCGACCACACACAGCTATATATATAGTCATGGTAAAGAAATTACACAGGAGGCGATGAGGCGATTTTTGATCATTCCGCATCTCGAACCCCCGAAATCGGCTACCCGCGAACACAAATTACACCACAAAAGCAAAAAAAAAAAATTGCGAAAAAATCGGCTGTCGTAGCTGGGATCTGCGGATGTGTCGAGCTGAAAAAATGCTTTATTGACTTATAGATTGTAAATGACTATATAGGACATTTTTGGACTTGGGATGCCATTGTCACTTACAAGACCAAGTATGCGTAGCGTCACAGTCATGATGTTGATCAAAGAGCTTCAATAATAGGCTATCTATTATGAGCTCTTGACTGTTATACATATGAATTGGTTTTTCAAAGCACTCTGCCTTTATCCAGTTAAACTGTAATAGTTTTATACAGTACTATACGTAATAGTCTCAGTATAGTATATAATCTATAAAAACCATAATTTATAGATTATTTTATTCTAAATGTGAGTGCGCGGCATAGTTTCCGGATAATGGGTAATAACAAAACAAGGAAGTATACCTCCAAATGGATAAGCGGCACTTAAAAATAGGCGTGACCATAGAAACGACGTTTATAGTACGGTATAAAGGTGGCAAGCTGAAAAGACATGCGGCGTGGATGATATCAAGAGCTAAATAAATACCTAGAGCAGTACAACGAAAAAAACGGCGAAAAGTGCTATTTCACGACATGATTAATCTACTTTGCCTGCGAAGCTAGAATAATTTAGGTATGGCCTTTTAGGATAGAGCAGAATTCTTTGCTCTCTAAAACAAGACCAACCGCTTGTCAATACGCATATCCTAGGCTGAGTATTGCTCGTAAACCTTTCCCCCTCCCAGGCCTCACAGCACCTCGAATCCCACATCAGTCAGCAATCCTCCTCGAGCCGCTAAGGTTGCTGGGGCGTGAAGAGTTTGGTTTTGTCGAAGCGATAACTTATGAAGAACGGCGTTTACAGTTATCATTAGGTGACTTTCTGGCGCATACGGCCTATGCCCTATTCCATTATCTTCCTAGCACGGAGCTAATGCCCATCATGATGGTAGCCGGGCAAATGTTCTCATATAAATTAATCTCTACAACGCAGCTCAGTTTACTATATGGTGCAGGGGGCGGATCCAGGATTTGTTGACAAGGAGGTGTCGAGAAAAGAAGTAAACAGAGCAACTTTTCCTGCTTACTTTTTCTGGTGTTTTAAGCTGCCGAAGGCCACTTAGTGGAGGTTTGGGCATGCGTGCGTATGCTTTTCTTCCTTTTTTGTGGTAAAAAAGGGGGATCCGGACACCCTCGACCCCCCTCTGGATCCTCCACTGTGGTGTAGTAGAGTACCAAATGGGCATGTGACATCAATTATCACCGATGGAAACCGATAGCCAAAATGCTTAGGGGCGAGTACAGTGGCGTAGCTAGGATTTTTTCAGCGGGGGACTGGGGAGCTTCATTTTCGTCGGGGGGAGGCACAATATTTATATACGTCAGTCTGCTGTTCGGGCACCACTCCAGTGTTGCTGAGAAGGAATAGTGCCGAGCCGGTAGCGAGGGCACATATCCTCCACGGGCAACACTGATGAGACCATAGTGCCCGCCACAACACGCGCATTAATCGTTTTTTAGTCATCAATGACTAGCAATCTATTTTCATGCTTATATATTCTTCATACTCACTAACTTTGCAGGCATCGATGTAACAAAACGTTCCGAGCACAACACAAGCCGTTCGACAAACTTGCGCTGCGCCCCAGATCAGGAGATTGCGTGACCGTGACAGCAACAGATGCGATACTAATAAAATGCCGTCGGCGGAAAAATAGTGCCCGTAGCGCGGCACTATTGCTTCATCGCAGTGCCCGCCTGCGTATCGCAATGGAATTTCAACCGATTTATACGTTCGAATGCACTAAATAATTTTCCTTTGTATGTGTTTAGCCAGCGACATTGTTTTTAATGTCAAGTTTTTTTTTTATGGTCAGCATGAATTTTCAGGGGGGGGCACAGAAATATTTGTGGGGGGGGGGCTCGTGCCCCCCAGGCCCCTCCCGTAGGCTACCCCGCCCTGGGTGAGAGTGCGATGCATGAACTGATCGTGGATTCTGAGGCGCCGCTGAGCTTGGGAGGAGCAAGTGTTAGCGAGGGCAGCCATATCTGCAGCCTATAGGATCGTATTATTATTTTTCTTTAAGCCAGGTTGGTCTTGTTTTAGCCGCGCTTATGTCCGGCCCATTCTGAGCACGACCTCGTCGCGGCGACAGATTTGAATAGTCGGTACGTCAAAAACCGGCCAGAATCGCCGCGATAAACATCGGCCGACGCAAAACTCGACATGAGTCTCCTTACGCATCCGAAAATACGTCGCCCGAGTGCGATCCGCAGGAATTAGAACATGTTCATTTTATGCGGGCCTGTCGCGAAATCGTGAGTGGCTCAGCCGGCCAATCACACGCAGCGTGTACGAGGTCAGGCAGTGAGTGGTATAAAAGTCACGTCAATTAATCAAAATGCGCAGCCCATATCCCCACATGCCAGAGTTTACAAAGAGGGATTATTGCACCAACCCTTTCTCACCATATACTATTAAGTTTTCGCCGTAATCACATGAAGAAGAAATTTTTGCACATGATTATACCGACGATGTTCAGAATTGAGGCATCAGATTGACGCCACGTTATCATGGATGTTTACATGGAGCGCCATTTGTTGTTTACGTACGTGACGTCCGTTCTTGATGTAGACTGGTCTCCCGGTCGCGCTCAAACCGTGCATCCCTGCGTTGTGGCTAGAACGGGCTCTGTGCTAGTACATAATACCTGGGCCCGGCTGCTCACGCCGCGAACCGTCTACGTTTCATGGCAGGAACGCCTACGATCTGAATCGCGCGATGTGCAGCGTAGTCACTTCAAAGCCGACATGAGTGTTCTCCGCTGCTAATCCGGCGATAAAGAGTCGCCGATAGATAAAATCGTAGGCCCGAACATAAGCGGGCGCCTTTAGAGAGCAAAGAATTCCTGCTTAAATGCAATAGCCTAGCCAAATTAATGTGAGCGCTAACACCACACCCACCAAAATCGTCGGGGGGCATTGTCCAGCAAGAATCTCGGACTAAGTTGATCCGGCTTAGCTCTAGATGTTCTAAGCCCCGCTCGCGCGCCCGTTCTTACTATCTGACCCAAGTGCGCGCTCATGGACGTTCTACGGTATAAAAGTAGTAGTATACAGCCCCGCAGTTCCGATAACTGCCGCAGGCCGCGTCGGCCGGCCGCGGCAGGGCCTGCGCAGTTTATCGAACGCGCTATAGTATCTAGAGCTAAGTGCGTGGCTTAGCTCTAGTACTATAGCCGCTTACATTAACTTGCCGCTGGGCTATAGACCGACCCATGGGGACATGCATCGGACCAACGTATCTCCAGCCAGTCCACGCGGAAGCTATGTATGGCCGGCATGGTAGGAGGGTGGGCCGGGTTGTGTTGGTCTGTGGACTAAAAAGCATTGGTGCTACTAGAGATCAGTATAAAATAACAATAGTAATTTGTCTCATGGCTTTCATGACAAACTCAATGATACAATCTCGTTGATCGCTTAATTTTGTTTACTTGACAACAAACAAATGTTTTTGTCCACAACCCTCCGACCATAACCCGCCCCCTCCCCAATCGGTATATACATAGTTCCCGCTTGACTGGCGCTGCGGCAGCGCCGCCAGAGAATGGCGCGTTTGAAATGTTCCAAAATCGAATGGTTTGTTCACAAGAAATACGCAAGTATACACCCATTGCACACGATAGTGTAGAGGTTCAATTTATAGTCGAGGCGGCTATAACTAAGGAACATATTCACCTTCGACTAGAGGCATTAATGTGCCTACCACAGACGTTTTATAAGTCGGGT